CCATAGTCTGGGCTGACATTACTTGAATTGTATGCGAAATTACTAAAGATTGGTTATATGTTGAGTGTCCTCCTTGGCCAGGCTGGTTTGGATACGAATCTACGTTATACCCTCTTCCCTGAGTATGTGACATCCCTCTGTTACCACGTCCCCTCGTTGATCCTCGCGTTGTGACTCGATTGCCCCCTCTACCCCGCTGTGCCCCTCGACCTAAATAAGAAAATTTCGTTAACAAAACGTTTTTCCACACGATTCAATTTACTTATGACATATGGAATGAAGTCTTTTATATTGACAGAGCAGTATCACATTGGTTTTAGTTGATATGCTGCTCATAAACATTACAAGTCAACAGACCATAAAACATCCATCAGAAGTGAATTGGAGAATGCCAATTTTAAATTCGTATCTGAATAAAAATTTGTAGGAATATTTGCCGCAACCCACACCTAATTATGAGTTGCCACCTATTTTGAAATTTTACTGTAAACATAGTGACATACATGCATACTATACATAGAGTTCGTTTTATAAAAAATCTCAACAGACCTTGTGGTTGGTATTTCCGGAATTTTTTTTTTACTTCTTGTAGGCCTTCCTCTTGTTCCAAATTTCTCGCCAGCTCGAGCGGTATCGGAGTTATTTCAGAACGTTTCATCGTGTTTGAATCTAATCCCACGATCAAGTGAAGACGCTTAATTCTCTATGAAGACATTTCAATGTTAAAGATATTTCAATGTTGAAAGTTTTCAAAAGTTTGTTAAATTGCTGTTTTGCAACCAACCAACTGCATTACACTAATTTGTTCTTTGAAGTTTTGCATGGTGTTGTGAAATATTTACATGATGTTGTTAGTTTTGGACCATTTTGAGGTACTTTGAACCAAGTTTTAAAATTTCAAAAATTGACGAACATTAGGATTTTTCCTTTGGTCCCCCGTTACCGATTTGCCTGAAATTTTGAACTTTCTTAAAGTATGATTTTATGTGTTCAGATGTATTGTTTTCATGAAAGAATGCAATTGTAGTTAGTTTTGAACCATTTTGAGCCATTATCAATCGAACTTTGAAATTTCAAAAAATTGACGAAAATTAGGATTTTTCCTTTGGTCCCCCGTTGCCGATTTTGCCGAAATTTTGAAATTTAACAAAGTATGATATGTGTTCACATGTATTGTTTCATGAAAAAATGAAATTTCAGGCAAATCGGTAACGGAGGACCAAAGGAAAAATCCTAATTTTCGTCAATTTTTTGAAATTTCAAAATTCGATTGATAATGGCTCGAAATGGTTGAAAGTAACTACAATTGCATTCTTTCATGAAAACAATACATTTGAACACATAAAATCATGCTTTGTTGAATTTCAAAATTTCAGGCAAATCGGTAACGGGGGACCAAAGGAAAAATCCTAATTTTCGTCAACTTTTTGAAATTTCAAAGTTCGATTGATAATGCCTCGAAATGGTTCAAAAGTAAGTAGAATTGCATTCTTTTATGAAAACAATATATTTGAACACATAAATCATACTTTGTTTAATTTCAAAATTTTAGGCAAATCGGCAACGGGGGACCAAAGGAAAAATCCTAATTTTCGTCAATTTTTTTGAAATATGAAAATTCGATTGATAATGGCTCGAAATGGTTCAAAACTAACTACAATTGCATTCTTTCATGAAAACAATATATTTGAACACATAAAATCATTTTCGTTTAATTTCAAAATTTCAGGCAAATCGGTAACGGGGGACCAAAGGAAAAATCCTAATTTTCGTCAATTTTTTGAAATTTGAAATTCGATTGATAATGGCTCGAAATGGTTCAAAACTAACTACAATTGCATTCTTTCATGAAAACAATATATTTGAACACATAAAATCATACTTTGTTTAATTTCAAAATTTCAGGCAAATCGGTAACGGGGGACCAAAGGAAAAATCCTAATTTTCGTCAATTTTTTGAAATTTGAAAATTCGATTGATAATGGCTCGAAATGGTTCAAAACTAACTACAATTGCATTCTTTCATGAAAACAATACATTTGAAGAAATAAAACCATACCACATAAATCATACTTTGTATAATCATACATACGGGGGACCAAAGGAAAAATCCTAATTTTCGTTAATTTTTTGAAATTTCAAAATTCGGTTTAAATTGAGTCGAAATGGTTCAGAACTAAGAACAATTGCATTCTTTCACGAAAGGAATACATTTGAAAAAATAAAACCATACCTTCACGAATTTCAAAATTTCAGTGAAATTGTAAGCCATAAAAAAATGGCTTGATTGTAGCAAAGTCGCCACTCTTGAATAATGAGGACTCCAAGCAAGCCAACTAATGTATGAACTAATGACGTTTCTACATATATTTCTTTGTTATTCCTCGGATGTGAAAGCTCTGAAGGCTTTTGCGAGAACCGTAGCAAACATGAGTCATTTGCATGAATATATCGATTTCTATGTTTACAAGTTTCTGGGAGTTGTTTTGCTTTGTGCTGGTTACAGTCGGTGGCAGAAATACTAACAAAGGTGATAGGTACAGAGTACTACTGAATAAAATATTTGTTATTGGGGAATAGAGAGTCCCTCCTATGGATGTTGTATTTTTCTCATGTATGCAGCTAAATAAGATTTATAACCTAACGTTCAAAACGAAATACAGTTTATTTTACGTATATGGTGCTATGTAAAGGTTTTTTTAGATAATCCAATTTGGTCGCATCCAATAGACCTTTTCAGCTTGTATGCAAATTATTAAGTTTTATTGGCTATTCCATGGTCACAACATCTGAAATGTTTTAATTTGCATGCCAGCTGAACCGGTCTATTCACTTCTCAGTTGACTTATATATGGGCAGAAAATCAACTAAAGCCAACGTATTTATGATTTTGTGGCACTTCATGCACTTCACTCGAGTGTAGGTAGGATAGGGTGGATTTCCACTTTCGCAGAGGCACAGTTCGCTAGAGAAATTTTACATATTTCCTTTTTATTAGTTCAGCTTGAATGCTCTTATTCAAAAGAAAATATGCAAAATTTTGCTAGCGAACTATTATCAACTATGTCTGTGCAAGTGGAAATCCACCCAAAATGGTTTCTAAGTGGTTTATGGTCTACTATCAGTACTACGCTATCATTATCATTCACTTCACTAATTTCACTTCCCTTTTTGGCTAGACTTTGTTCACTATTTTTCATGCTGTAACTATCGTTTTATTGAAGTATAAAGGATCCCACAAGACAAAGTTGCCAATGTGATAGGACGAAAAGAACATCTCAATCCGAAATATATAGATCTCAAAAATATGCCGCACTCATACAGTTATAAACGGATTTTCATCAGACAATGAACTGTGAAGCTGTTCATATGATCCCGTTTAATTGGCCGCGATTTTGATTTTCATCTTGTTCTCACGGTTTCCATTCTGCCCACATTTGAGCAGAATGAGTAACCTGGAAACGAGGTTGATAATCATCCTGGTAGTGATGATCTTGTTTTGATGGTAGCAAGAACTAATGTCTTGTTTTGTTTCATAAAGACTTTCAATCACTGTTCGTTTAGTTTCAGGTAACCGGGCTCATGTAAGCAGCTGTACCCTTAATACTAATGCTGCTTTAATAACTTCATAAAAGACTTTTTATAGGATGAGCTATATTATTGCTCATTAACGATGTTTAAAATTAATTATGAAAATATCCTTTAAAAGGTGTTGCTTATTTTAAATACGTGTTGTAAACGATCGTTGTGCTCCCTTGTGACCTTATGAACGATTCAGTTTCAAAAGAGATGTATAACCGGACAGATCATCATCATTATTTCTCAAATAGCGGCCTTCTAAGTGGAAAATACTCGCCGTCCTTCACACCGACATCTTTCTTTCCTGTCGCACCGAGAGAAGGATACTCGTATTGATGGTTCGGGTGGATTTCAGGAGATTCGTATTTGGGGCTCCCTGGATTCTCGTACTCAGGACCTTGGGATTGCGCACACGATATTCTCTGGTTAGTGTTTTTATACAGGTATTCCTGTTCTGCTCTTGGTATAACATAAATTTCAGATTCTGTCGGAGATGCTTGGTTGTTGGAAAGGTTTTGCAACTCTTCAACAACCGGTGAAGAATTTTGATCTGCTATATAAAAACAACTATTTTTAATTTCCACTACTATTATAGCGAGTTAATATACTTGCTACCGTGAGAAAGGCTGTAGTAATTAATGGTTTACTTATAGCTTTTCATTTGCTACTTTTGAATGTAAAAACTTGCCATGACAGACACACTCCATGATTATTTGATATGAAGGAAATTCAGCAGAAGAATTTGTTAGGTACAAGTGCAACAAGAGAGACTTTAATCAAGACATTATAAAAACGAAACTCAACGACGTGAGCCAAACTGAAACGTGATACCCAAAATATGACGCGTAAACTATAAATCCCGGGATCAACCGTGAAGGATAATTACCTGAATTTCCTCTTCTACTGTTTTTTACAATCTATTTAAAGAAGAAAGAATATAGATTATAAGATCCATGACTATTTATTTTTAATAGTGAATTTGAGAGTGGTTCTTCCGAAGCTCAAACAGCTTTCAAATTTCTCTTTTATAACCGCAGAAAATACCACTGAAAAACATTTAAATTTACAACGAAGCTGTGTGGATCAAAACAGATATAATATACCAAATGTTTCGGATGGGTTTTTTGTAAACTGATAACGGTAGTAATGAACCCAACTCGACATCCTGCCCCATCATGCAATATATATATGTTATTTACCAGATTGGAGGTTTGTATAGGGAAATATTTCCCAAGGTCTCAAAAACAGCCCGAGGCCGAAGGACTGCTCGCGTAGCCAATTGGATTGCGGGAAACGTTAAAATATGAATTAGGACCGCGAGAAAAAAAATAAATAGCTATAGCTATTGACTTCAATTATATGTAAGCACGTCTTGTTATCGCATTTTTCACGGCAGACCCAATTTTCACAGGCATGGCTCACTAGCTCTTACCGCTGGTTTCGAAGATTTAACGTTTGTTTTTCATTAATTACAATTGATTAACAACTTGTGATACTTCCTTGTGCATGCATGCATAGAGTGATAATTAGATACCTTTTTCGATAAAAGTAGGCCACAACAAACACCAGAACGATAATGAGCACAGAGACCAAGACCGTAATAACGATTGTGACCACTAAACTTTCTTCACTTTCTTTATGTTTTAATATCACTGTGGTGTCTGCCATTTTTGTTGTTGTCGTGGGTAATGTCACTGTGATGTCTGTTCTCTTCGATTTACGAAAAAGAAAACAGAATTGTAATCAGATTTAAACTGTATCTAAATATAAATAAATCTGCATGTAATATGCTTCGGAAAATGTCTAAGCAAAAAAACAGCAGCCATGCATGACCATCCAGAAAGAGCATGCACCACCGAAGATGAAACAAATACTGAATGGTTACCGTGTTTGGATGGCCTGATCCAAACACGCGCGCGGGAATGTCGCGAGAGTTAATCAGTCATGCATTTATACATGACTACATGCGTTTTACCCAAATTACAGTACTTAAATTGACTGCATTCGTCAGAAACGCAGTGCGGGATTAAACTCACATTCTGTTCCACCAATTTTTTGAACTTGAGAAGCAAACAGTGATTCTCTCCTTTGGACTCGTGGGTTTTACTTTTACAGGAAATTTCCAACTTCAACAATGAATTGTTGAAGATTTCAAATGATTCTTCTTGGATCTATAAATAGTTGTAGAAGCAATTATTGAGCTCGGTATAAAAAGGTTTAATAGAATTGAGTTCACTTTAAAGTACACGTCAAGCGTATTCACGTGACATAAAGAGAAGAGCTAGGCCCGTTTCTATTATCAGTAGTTCGTTGGAATATATAACTATCGTCATTGTTGCGGGTTTTTTAGCGAGTGTAAAACTGCAGCATGGTATAATTATAAAAAAAATAAAAACGAATCAGCCACTAACAAACCAAAAAATGTTACTTATTATGAGCATTTGATTATATAATTTATCTTGCCATTACAAATTTTATTTTCCTTTAATGACTCTTACCATTAACATTCTAAGATCTTTTGAAACTTTGTTGATGAAAATCGGTTTCTTGTTTTCCATATTCGTAACTTTCTGCCACATCATATCACTCCGCATGATGGTAGATTTCGACCATATAATGCTGCATTGCGAGTTTTCAGAAAAGATTGGGGCAAAAAAATTTCGAGTACATGGCTTAGAGCAATTGTCTTTGTCCAGATAAAGCATGAATTTTTTGTTTTGAAAACGGTAACAACCTATCGAAATGGATATCAAAAATTAGAAGGAAGCTTTCGATCTCTTGAGGTATAGGAAATAGAAAAAATTGTTTGCTAAGTCGACAACTCAAATCTTAAGGTAATTCTGATTTTTTAAAGAAAAAACTTTTCAAGAAAAAACTTGTATTTTACCGAATATGCAAGAATAAGTACTCTGCTTTTTAAAACCATGCATATAAAGCATATGCAATCAGTTCTGACCTTCACAGGTATTTTTTCCTAGTTCAGGTCTTTATTTCCCTTGTCTCCAAATTTGTCGCGTGCTTATATATAAACCCTGCATATCAGCACGTATACATACAATGCTTACCTCTGTAAGTAGTTGTTTTCCAGTTCAGATATCCATCCGTGTTTTTCCAAACCTGTCCCGTGCTGCTTGACTTACTTATTGCTCTCTTACTGTATTCATCGATTTCAAGGTAAAAATTCGTTTGGCCACTGCACATTTTGGTAAATATAAATTTTGTCTTACTCTTGGGTTGCGTTTTTGCTGTTGTTGATTGGTTCTATCACATTGCTTCATAACTACTGAATTAACCGATCTTCCTTTATGCGAACATGTAGACAAAGGCTTGACAAACTCAAGACACTGGAGTGAAATAACATTCATAAGTTGGATTTTTCCCGTTTCATTTAACCATACCCAACGCATGTTTAGAGACGAGCTGCAAACCGTTCCAGAAACTTTTTCAGTCCGATTTCCATTTACCGTAAGACATTTACCGTAATTTTGATTTCGAAGAAAAAATTTCCATTTGGTACTAGAAGGTGAATACAATATATATATTGTACGACAGTATTAATTTGGGAGGAAATCCCATGGGCTGTCACCTCATGACAGGAAAAGTAATTTTGTGATTCTGAAGGGTCATAATATTTACTTTACACGTCATTTTATGTGACATGTTCCCGAAGTAATTTCCTCATCGATATTGACCTTCTATTTTTTTAAAATGCTAAATTACATTATATATGCGCATTTCGTAACAATATGGATAAACCCGCTTAGCTGAGATTTAAGGAAGCGTAAAATGAGTTTGAGGTATTGAAATTAGTAAATAACATGACCACATAATCCTAAAAGTGCAACAGCGGTTGCCCTAGCTGTAAACGCCAATCTAAAACTCTTCAATACCTCAATATTTAAAGATGATGTAAAGTCCGTTCTGAGCATATATTCTGCGCATAACAATGTTTGTTTACGTTGGTTATATAATCTTTACATGACGTATGTTACGTTATAATTTTATTATTTTCTTCTCGCTCGACGGGCTGTGATCTGTGATGAATATGCTTATTTTTTATTATATTTTGAAGAAAATATTGTTATATTTTGAAGAAAATATAAAGCGAAGCTTGTAAATAAACCAGCCGTTATTTAAAACGTTATATATTTGTAATTGTAGGACAAGCGAGAAGGTGGCGTCTGTAGCGACAACAAATAGCCTCGCCATTTCGGGCCTTATTCAACAAATAAATTCTTGGAGCATTCCTTTCAGCATAATATTGCTTTTTTCTAGCAGCTTTATGATAAGATAAGTTATCGTCGTGACTCGCAATTCGAGCCTCTTCGCCTTGCGACAAAAAAAAATAATTTTGCTCCCGAACTGCCGTTTGTAATACAACGCGTTAATATCGCATATCATTAACATTCCAAAAGTTGCTCCCCCACTGATGGAATGTGTTGATGCGCGGAATATATGCGCAGAACGGACTTTACCTCATCTTTAACTCAAAATAGCAATACTAAAAGATAAACATGTCATACTTGAATCAGGTATGATATCTTGGTCTTTAGTACAATTGCCTGTGGTAGGAGTTACCAGCAGAAGTGTGTTCCTATCCTCTTCAATACACTGGCAATATTTACATTCATCATTTTCACATTCAGCTTTGAAACTCTTACACAGATTTTCCGCTTTTTGCTTAGATGTCTGACGTTCCAAATGTAAGTTTTGAGGAATAAATTTATCATATCTTTCTCGTTTGATTTCAATCTGTGCTGTTGTATTTCCGCTAGCACAAATAATCACAATGTATAAACAGTACCAAACAAATAATATATTGTAAGCCATACCGACGTGTGTATAAAAACAAACGGCATTTGATTGTAACAAACTCGCCACTCTTCAACAATAGGCAGATTTAGCATGAGCTGATGAGGACGTGAACGTCAAAGAGGACGTGAAAATGGCGAATAAATGGCGATATCGCCATTTTCACGTCCTTTAAAGGCTTTTCTGTTCATATCCTGTGGACTGTCGTATATCATGTGTATCATGTGGTTATTTTCAGTAGTATACATGTAACTTCCGGGGTGAGTGTTATGCCAGAACCGTGACTGCGTGACATCATAGACAATCCAAAAGACATTTCAGAAGGGGTTTACTTGATGAGGTGACGCTGCAAACGAAGCGAAGCGTCAATTATTCGATGAGATCATAGCCTACGCGTAGACTCAACTTAAGTTATAAGTAGAGTCTACGCATCAGCGTTAAAAAGCTTGTTCAATCACGTGGATTTCCCCACAAATATGGGAACGCTTGTGATTGGTCAGTTGATAAATATTCAGGATACTGACCAATCACAAGCGTTCCCCACATTTGTGGGGATGCCACGTGATTGAACAAGCTTTTTAACGCTGATGCGTAGACTCTACTTATAACTTAAGTTGAGTCTACGCGTAGGCTATGAGATCAGGGCGCTGTAAAACGCTGTGTTTTACAGCGCCCTGATGAGATAAATGAACTAGAATACAAGACAAGTCTCCTTGAAACTGAAAATGTGTCACTAACAAAGAAGGGTTAATAATGGATAAGTATGAAAGCCAGGCTTTTATTTTGCATAGAAAGAGACAAAAGACGCCAGTAATCTATCGGCCAGAGGTATAATCCTCCCATATTTCCTCCCATAAGAACCACAGCCTTACCATCGTGAAAGAGTGTCTTCGCAACAAGTATTTCATGTTTCGTTTTCTATAAATACGTTTTGTGATTTCTTGATTCTGACAATAAGAGACGATTGTCATTTCTGACGATTCTGACCATAAGACTCTGTCGATAAATAAATGTCTGTCTTAACTCTTAAGACACTTATATAGAATCAATACACTGGTGCAAGTACTCCACTTGTTTTTGTTTTGCGTTTTTTTTAACATTTGCACCTGTGGGCATCTTTTTATGTAACAGGCGCATAATAAGTAATTAAATTATTATTATTATATTCAGCTGTACTTCTCAAAAACGTCTCGTTGACCCCCCCCCAATCTTGTACACATTCCTACGCCCCTGTTTAATACCATTGGAATTATTTCCAGCCTGCGATAGGCTGAGTATTCATTTGGCGACTTTTCAAAGTATACTATAGCAAGTACATATTGTACATTTGTCCCACACCTGGACTCATAGCTGGGACACAAGGGTATGTCTGAGCTTTGGTTTCGAAATGGATTCCTGTAGCAGTCATATGATGGACAATTCATTGTAATCCACTCATTCTATACTTTAGTAACGATTCTGTCAAAGCATTTGAAACGTGGAGAGCAACTGAGGCATCTTCCTCGTCGTGAACTAGTTTTGTCTGGAAAATACATCATATCAAATTAACAAACTGCTCCAAGCACTCCAGCGCTGCTTCATCAAAATTCATATCAGTTCAATTTCGCTCGTCTTTGTAAATAAAATTTATTCAATTTTGAACTTACCAAATCGCCAAGGGCGGCCGCTAAATTAGCAGTGATTTCGGACTAAAATAAAATTTAGAAAAATGATTGGAAAATTTGTCTCAACCACTCTTAATATTGCTCACTGTTGACCATAGCAGACTGTGTACTTCGGTAATCATTTCAATATACCTTAAGGTGTTCTTTACGAGTGTCCAAGGTTTTCGGTGCCCTGTTGGTATTTGCCATGGGGTAGACTTGACCACCGGGGTGTGGTTGAGCAGAATATGGCTGTCCACCACCTCTATGATAAGAGGAACTACCACCATGGTGGATCTGTTCAGTCTCATAGCTGGATGATATAAGAAGGTTTATTTGTTAATTAGGGATGATATCAGTATTTGATTAGCATAGTTTAAAACTGATAGAGCTACATGTGTCAGTATAAAGTCAGTTTAGTTTAAGTTTCCTCCTGTAGTGACACTAGATAAATAATATATTGTTCCTAATAGAACAGTTTACCAAGGTATTAAGTTTATCTAGGTGCTAGCACTGAAAAAGGGATGTTGCAAAACAATTTATAAAAGCCCTGCACTAAACTGACCTTTGTGGATAGTTTACGCCATAGTCTAGGCCAACATTCCTTGAATTGTATGCGAAATTACTAAACGATTCGTTATATGTTGAGTGCCCTCCTTGGCCAGGCTGGTTTGGATACGAACCCACGTTATACCCTCTTCCCTGAGTATGTGACATCCCTCTGTTATCACGTCCCCTCGTTGATCCTCGCGTTGTGCCTCGATTGTCCCCTCTACCCCGTTGTGTCCCTTGACCTAACAAGAAAATTACGTTAACAAAAAGTTTGTCCACACGATTCAATTCACTTATGACATATGGAATGTAGTCTGTTATATTGACAGAGCAGTACCACATTGGTTTTAGTTGATATGCTGCTCATAAAAATTGCAAGTCAACAGAGCATAAAACATCCATCAGAAGTGAATTGGAGAATGCGAATTTTAAAATTCGTATCTGAATAAAAATTTGTAGGAATATTTGCCGCAACCCTCACCTAATTGAGAGTTGCCACGTTCATCTATTATATATAGTATATCACCTTTTTTGAAATTTTACTGTAAACATAGTGACACTACATAGAGTTCGTTGTAGAAAAAATCTCAACAGACCTTGTGGTTGGTATTTCCGGAATTTTTTTTACTTCTAGTCGGCCTTCCTCTTGTTCCTAATTTCTCGCCAGCTCGAGCAGTATCGGAGTTATTTCAGAACGTTTCATCGTGTTTGAATCTAATCCCACGATCAAGTGAGGACGCTTAATTCTCTATAAAGTCTGAAGGCTTTTGCGAGAACCGTGGCAAACATGAGTCATTTGTATGAATATATCGATTTCTATGTTTACAAGTTTCTGCATGACAGTTGTTTTGCTTTTTGCTGGTTACAGTCGGTGGCAAATATACTAACAAAGGTGATAGGTACAGAGTACTAAAGCATAAAATATTTGTTATTGGGGGAATAGAGAGTCCCTCCAATGGATGTTGTAGTTTTCTCATGTATGCAGCTAATTAAGATTTATAACGCAATGTTCAAAACGAAATACAGTTTATTTTACGCATGTGGTGCGATGTAAAGGTTTTTTTAGATGATCCAATTTGGTCGCATCTAATAGACCTTTTCAGCTTGTATGCAAATTAACCCATTTAATTCAAATCACATGGTTCGAAATGGTTAAATTTTACTGGCTATTCCATGGTCACCACATCTGAAATGGTTTAATTTGCATGCCAGCTGAACTGGTCTATATTCACTTCTCAGTTGACTTATATATGGGCAGAAAATCAACTAAAGCCAACGTATTTATGATTTTGTGGCACTTTATATCTTGTGGCACTTAATATTTTACTAGCGAACTATCATCAACTGGTTTCTATAAATGGTTTAAGGTCTACTATCAGTACTACGCTATCATTATCTTTATATCAGACTTTGTTCACTATTTTCATGCTGTAGCTAACTATCGTTTTGTTGAAGTAAAGGATCCCACAAGACAAGGTTGCCAATGTGATAGGATGTAAAGAATATCTCAACTACTGAGAAGTGAGAACCGAAATATATAGATCTCAAAAATATGCCGCACTCATACAGTTATAAGATTTTCATCAGACAATGAACTGTGGAGCATGTTCCCGTTTAATTGGCCCCGATTTTGATTTTGAAGTATTTAAATGCATATAACATGATCCCATCTTAATTGTTCCCACGGTTTCCATTTTGCCCACATTTGAGCAGAATGCATAACCTGGAAACGAAGTTGAGCATCATCCTGGTAGTGGTGTAATCATCCCAACAGTAGCAAGAACTTGTTTTGTTTCATGAAGACTTTCAATCACTGTTCGTTTAGTTTGAGGTAACCGGGCTCATGTAAGCATGCAGCTGTACCTTTAATACCAATGCTGCTTTAATAACTTCATAAAAGACTTTTTATAGGTTGAAAAATGTTATTGCATGCTCATTAATTACTTAACGATGTTTAAAATTAATTATGAAAATCCTTAAAAAAGGTAGTTGCTTATAAATACGCACTGTAGACAATCACGTTGCTTCCTTGTGACCTTGTGAACTATTCAGTTTTAAAAGAGATGTATAACCGGACAGATCATCTTCATTATCTTTAAATAGCGGCCTTCTAAGTGGAAAATACTCGCCGTCCTTCACACCGACATCTTTCTTTCCTGTCGCACCGAGAGAAGGATACTCGTATTGATGGTTCGGGTGGATTTCAGGAGATTCGTATTTGGGGCTTCCTGGGTTCTCGTACTCAGGACCTTGGGATTGCGCACACGATATTCTCTGGTTAGTGTTTTCATACAGGTATTCTTGTTCTGCTCTTGGTATAACATAAATTTCAGATTCTATCGGAGTTGCTTGGTTGTTAGAAAGGTTTCGCATTTCTGGCAACTCTTCAACAACCGGTGAAGAATTTTGATCTGTTACTATAAAAGCAACTATTCAGTTTAATTTCCACTACGTTAATACAACATTGTGAGTTTAGAGAGTGGACTAGGGTTGAATGTAATCCCGCCTATGCAATTATTATGGAGGATGAAAAAATCTCTTTACATCTCTTGTTTTTCCCCCACCATGTCGATGACGAATAGTCGCCATTTTGAGTGCTTTTAATAATTCTTTCAGAATAACTAACAACTCATTCACGTAACGAATTTACCCCCCAAAATTCCATGAAGTCCTTGTTACGTGGCCCCCACGCTTACAGGCATGAAAAAGTACACGCATCAGTTATAGCGAGTTAATATATTTGTTATCGCGAGAAAGGCTGTAGCAATTAATGGTTTACTTATAGCTTTTCATTTGCTACTTTTAAGTTTAAAACTTGCCAAGACAGACACACTCCATGATTGTTTATAAATATGAAGGAAATTCAGCAGAAGAGTTTGTTAGGTGCGAGTGCAACAGGAAAGACTTGAATAAAGACATTATAAAAACGAAACTCAACGACGTGAGCCAAACTGAAAACGTGAAGCCCAAAATATGACGTGTATAAACTATAAATCCCGGGATCAACCGTGAAGGATAATTACCTGAATTTCCTCTTTCACTGTTTTTTACAAATCTATTTAAAGAAGAAAGAATTTAGATTATAAGATCCATGAGTATTTATTTTTAATAGTGAATTTGAGGGCGGTTCTTCCAAAGCTCGAACAGCTTTCAAATTTCTCTTTTATAACCGCAGAAAATAACTCTGAAAAATATTTAAATTTACAACGAAGCTGCATGTGTGGATCAAAACAGATATAAATATACCAAATGTTTCGGATGGGTTTTTTGTAAACTGATAACGGTAGTAATGAACCCAACTCGACATCCTGCCCCATCATATGAGGCGCCGTTTTGGACATTATTCTGAACTAAATATATTTCATGCTAAACTAAAAAGTGCATGGTAAACTTTAAATATAAGGTGACGAATTTCAAAACCCTATGCAGAACTTCAGAAATATACGCAACAAAACTCTTCCATCGTGTTGTTAAATTATACATGAAATCCTAAACTTTTATTTGACATGCTAAACATTTTTTACATCGTGCTCTATGCCTCTATATTTAATATATGCAGTATTTTTATATCATGTTGCATAATGCATCGCGAGCCTAGAACTTCGGAGGCTTGAACCCATGCCCCTGTCTGCGCTTATTTCGAACTAAAATGGCGGCTTCAACTTCAAGGACTTCAAGTGGTATAGGAGGAACAGAATTCAGCCTTTTTTCATTCTTTCAAAGAACTAAAACAATTGTTACGGAAGCAGAATACTATATTTCTTCAGATCAACTTTCGTTTAATGATATCGATAGTCTTGAGCGAATACACGAAAGGCTTTCTGAAGCTGGAGATACAGTCTTCACTTTAAAGGAGAGAGCATTAAACCTCGTTGCTGACATCGAGATGGAAAACTTTTACAATGACATGGACGAATTATCTACGTATTTAAATCGACTTCGAACTTTTTTCCAAAATACTATCAATGGTCTACAAGATCAGATTACTTGCACCCCAGCATACAGTTGCGCCAGGATATACACAGGCATGAGAGGTCAGCCACGAATTGAAATATCTAAGAGACAGATTGAGTGCCTCAGAGAATTACACTTTTCTTGGACTAAAATAGCCGAATTATTAGGCATTTCTCTAAAAACTTTGCAACGAAGACGCGAAGAATTCCAAATTGACAATGGGGAGTCGTGGTCTACAATCAATGACAATGATCTACGAGAAGTCATGCAAGAAATTATGAGTATTACACCTGGCATTGGGCAGACACGTATGTTAGGTGCCCTAAAAAGTCGAGGAATAAGAGCCCAACGTTCACGTGTAAGGGTTATGATGCGTGAGTTGGATCCCATAGGAACTGCACTTCGTTGGCGAGGAGCAATTTGTAGAAGAAATTATTCTGTGCGTTGTGCGAATGCTTTGTGGCATATAGATGGGAACCACAAAATGATACGGTGGCGCATTGTGGTACATACATCTATTGACGGGTACTCAAGATTAATACCATATCTTTATTGTGCTAATAACAACAAATCGATTACAGTTCTACAGTTATTTCAAAATGCTTGCCAATCATATGGTTTACCTTCAAGGGTAAGGTGTGACCATGGCCTTGAAAATGTAGGTGTTGCTCGAATGATGTTGGAGTGTCGTGGCATTAATCGAGGAAGCATTATCACTGGTGCTTCAGTGCACAACCAACGAGTAGAGAGACTACACAGAGATGTTACTACTGGTGTTCTTAAGGCATATATTGATGAATTTTACAGAATGGAAAGTTCTGGTCTTCTAAACCCTGATAACGAAATACATATCTTTTCACTTCACCTTGTTTTTTTAAAAGTGATTAATAATTCCTTAGAAGAGTTTATTGATCAGTGGAATCATCATGGCATTAGTACAGAAAGAGGATCATCACCATTACAACTTTGGTCAGAAAGTATATTAAGATGTGCAACAGAAAACAATTCAACATTAGATGATATTTTAGTTAATGAAGAAGTAGAATCATACAATTTACAAGGTGACAATGAGTTTGAAAATGATGCGGCTGGAGTTGTTGTACCTCAAAGTTCAGTTAATTTAAGAGACGATCAGCTGGCATATGTTCAAAATTTAGCCAACCAGAACAACAACAGGTATAACATAATTCAGACATATGTTCAAGTTGTAAATGCTATTAATATGATGGTGGAATAATTTATAATAATGCAGTAAAGCTGATAGAAATTAAAAGAAACTCAAGTCTGGACATTTCAGCAAATACTTTGCTTCAAAATATCAAAAACAGTTTTATATTTCAATCCATTGAGTTCTTTCAATAGTGAAATAAAATAGAAAAAAAATAAGGATGTGCATGTAATACAACATTTCAAAATAAATAACTGGAGTATATCAACAACTCAACTTCAACTATATTGTTACTCAACATTATTTCAACATGTAATATGAATTATGCATCAATATTGTAATTGTGAATGGTTACCGTGTTTGGATGGCCTGATCCAAACACGCGCGCGGGAATGTCGCGAGAGTTAATCAGTCATGCATTTATACATGACTACATGCGTTTTACCCAAATTACAGTACTTAAATTGACTGCATTCGTCAGAAACGCAGTGCGGGATTAAACTCACATTCTGTTCCACCAATTTTTTGAACTTGAGAAGCAAACAGTGATTCTCTCCTTTGGACTCGTGGGTTTTACTTTTACAGGAAATTTCCAACTTCAACAATGAATTGTTGAAGATTTCAAATGATTCTTCTTGGATCTATAAATAGTTGTAGAAGCAATTATTGAGCTCGGTATAAAAAGGTTTAATAGAATTGAGTTCACTTTAAAGTACACGTCAAGCGTATTCACGTGACATAAAGAGAAGAGCTAGGCCCGTTTCTATTATCAGTAGTTCGTTGGAATATATAACTATCGTCATTGTTGCGGGTTTTTTAGCGAGTGTAAAACTGCAGCATGATGTATAATTATAAAAAAATAAAAACGAATCAGCCACTAACAAACCAAAAAATGTTACTTATTATGAGCATTTGATTATATAATTTATCTTGCCATTACAAATTTATATTTTCCTTTAATGACTCTTACCATTAACATTCTAAGATCTTTTGAAACTTTGTTGATGAAAATCGGTTTCTTGTTTTCCATATTCGTAACTTTCTGCCACATCATATCACTCCGCATGATGGTAGATTTCGACCATATAATGCTGCATTGCGAGTTTTCAGAAAAGATTGGGGCAAAAAAATTTCGAGTACATGGCTTAGAGCAATTGTCTTTGTCCAGATAAAGCATGAATTTTTTGTTTTGAAAACGGTAACAACCTATCGAAATGGATATCAAATAATTAGAAGGAAGCTTTCGATCTCTTGAGGTATAGGAAATAGAAAAAATTGTTTGCTAAGTCGACAACTCAAATCTTAAGGTAATTCTGATTTTTTAAAGAAAAAACTTTTCAAGAAAAAACTTGTATTTTACCGAATATGCAAGAATAAGTACTCTGCTTTTTAAAACCATGCATATAAAGCATATGCAATCAGTTCTGACCTTCACAGGTATTTTTTCCTAGTTCAGGTCTTTATTTCCCTTGTCTCCAAATTTGTCGCGTGCTTATATATAAACCCTGCATATCAGCACGTATACATACAATGCTTACCTCTGTAAGTAGTTGTTTTCCAGTTCAGATATCCATCCGTGTTTTTCCAAACCTGTCCCGTGCTGCTTGACTTACTTATTGCTCTCTTACTGTATTCATCGATTTCAAGGTAAAAATTCGTTTGGCCACTGCACATTTTGGTAAATATAAATTTTGTCTTACTCTTGGGTTGCGTTATTTGCTGTTGTTGATTGGTTCTATCACATTGCTTCATAACTACTGAATTAACCGATCTTCCTTTATGCGAACATGTAGACAAAGGCTTGACAAACTCAAGACACTGGAGTGAAATAACATTCATAAGTTGGATTTTTCCCGTTTCATTTAACCATACCCAACGCATGTTTAGAGACGAGCTGCAAACCGTTCCAGAAACTTTTTCAGTCCGATTTCCATTTACCGTAAGACATTTACCGTAATTTTGATTTCGAAGAAAAAAATTTCCATTTGGTACTAGAAGGTGAATACAATATATATATTGTACGACAGTATTAATTTGGGAGGAAATCCCATGGGCTGTCACCTCATGACAGGAAAAGTAATTTTGTGATTCTGAAGGGTCATAATATTTACTTTACACGTCATTTTATGTGACATGTTCCCGAAGTAATTTCCTCATCGATATTGACCTTCTATTTTTTTAAAATGCTAAATTACATTATATATGCGCATTTCGTAACAATATGGATAAACCCGCTTAGCTGAGATTTAAGGAAGCGTAAAATGAGTTTGAGGTATTGAAATTAGTAAATAACATGACCACATAATCCTAAAAGTGCAACAGCGGTTGCCCTAGCTGTAAACGCCAATCTAAAACTCTTCAATACCTCAATATTTAAAGATGATGTAAAGTCCGTTCTGAGCATATATTCTGCGCATAACAATGTTTGTTTACGTTGGTTATATAATCTTTACATGACGTATGTTACGTTATAATTTTATTATTTTCTTCTCGCTCGACGGGCTGTGATCTGTGATGAATATGCTTATTTTTTATTATATTTTGAAGAAAATATTGTTATATTTTGAAGAAAATATAAAGCGAAGCTTGTAAATAAACCAGCCGTTATTTAAAACGTTATATATTTGTAATTGTAGGACAAGCGAGAAGGTGGCGTCTGTAGCGACAACAAATAGCCTCGCCATTTCGGGCCTTATTCAACAAATAAATTCTTGGAGCATTCCTTTCAGCATAATATTGCTTTTTTCTAGCAGCTTTATGATAAGATAAGTTATCGTCGTGACTCGCAATTCGAGCCTCTTCGCCTTGCGACATAAAATAAAATAATTTTGCTCCCGAACTGCCGTTTGTAATACAACGCGTTAATATCGCATATCATTAACATTCCAAAAGTTGCTCCCCCACTGATGGAATGTGTTGATGCGCGGAATATATGCGCAGAACGGACTTTACCTCATCTTTAACTCAAAATAGCAATACTAAAAGATAAACATGTCATACTTGAATCAGGTATGATATCTTGGTCTTTAGTACAATTGCCTGTGGTAGGAGTTACCAGCAGAAGTGTGTTCCTATCCTCTTCAATACACTGGCAATATTTACATTCATCATTTTCACATTCAGCTTTGAAACTCTTACACAGATTTTCCGCTTTTTGCTTAGATGTCTGACGTTCCAAATGTAAGTTTTGAGGAATAAATTTATCATATCTTTCTCGTTTGATTTCAATCTGTGCTGTTGTATTTCCGCTAGCACAAATAATCACAATGTATAAACAGTACCAAACAAATAATATATTGTAAGCCATACCGACGTGTGTATAAAAACAAAACGGCATTTGATTGTAACAAACTCGCCACTCTTCAACAATAGGCAGATTTAGCATGAGCTGATGAGGACGTGAACGTCAAAGAGGACGTGAAAATGGCGAATAAATGGCGATATCGCCATTTTCACGTCCTTTAAAGGCTTTTCTGTTCATATCCTGTGGACTGTCGTATATCATGTGTATCATGTGGTTATTTTCAGTAGTATACATGTAACTTCCGGGGTGAGTGTTATGCCAGAACCGTGACTGCGTGACATCATAGACAATCCAAAAGACATTTCAGAAGGGGTTTACTTGATGAGGTGACGCTGCAAACGAAGCGAAAGCGTCAATTATTCGATGAGATCATAGCCTACGCGTAGACTCAACTTAAGTTATAAGTAGAGTCTACGCATCAGCGTTAAAAAGCTTGTTCAATCACGTGGATTTCCCCACAAATATGGGGAACGCTTGTGATTGGTCAGTTGATAAATATTCAGGATACTGACCAATCACAAGCGTTCCCCACATTTGTGGGGATGCCACGTGATTGAACAAGCTTTTTAACGCTGATGCGTAGACTCTACTTATAACTTAAGTTGAGTCTACGCGTAGGCTATGAGATCAGGGCGCTGTAAAACGCTGTGTTTTACAGCGCCCTGATGAGATAAATGAACTAGAATACAAGACAAGTCTCCTTGAAACTGAAAATGTGTCACTAACAAAGAAGAGGTTAATAATGGATAAGTATGAAAGCCAGGCTTTTATTTTGCATAGAAAGAGACAAAAGACGCCAGTAATCTATCGGCCAGAGGTATAATCCTCCCATATTTCCTCCCATAAGAACACAGCCTTTACCATCGTGAAAGAGTGTCTTCGCAACAAGTATATTTCATGTTTCGTTTTCTATAAATACGTTTTGTGATTTCTTGATTCTGACAATAAGAGACGATTGTCATTTCTGACGATTCTGACCATAAGACTCTGTCGATAAATAAATGTCTGTCTTAACTCTTAAGACACTTATATAGAATCAATACACTGGTGCAAGTACTCCACTTGTTTTTGTTTTGCGTTTTTTTTAACATTTGCACCTGTGGGCATCTTTTTATGTAACAGGCGCATAATAAGTAATTAAATTATTATTATTATATTCAGCTGTACTTCTCAAAAACGTCTCGTTGACCCCCCCCCAATCTTGTACACATTCCTACGCCCCTGTTTAATACCATTGGAATTATTTCCAGCCTGCGATAGGCTGAGTATTCATTTGGCGACTTTTCAAAGTATACTATAGCAAGTACATATTGTACATTTGTCCCACACCTGGACTCATAGCTGGGACACAAGGGTATGTCTGAGCTTTGGTTTCGAAATGGATTCCTGTAGCAGTCATATGATGGACATTCATTGTAATCCACTCATTCTATACTTTAGTAACGTTCTGTCAAAGCATTTGAAACGTGGAGAGCAACTGAGGCATCTTCCTCGTCGTGAACTGTTTGTCTGGAAAATACATCATATCAAATTAACAAACTGCTCCAAGCACTCCAGCGCTGCTTCATCAAAATTCATATCAGTTCAATTTCGCTCGTCTTTGTAAATAAAATTTATTCAATTTTGAACTTACCAAATCGCCAAGGGCGGCCGCTAAATTAGCAGTGATTTCGGACTAAATAAAATTTAGAAAAATGATTGGAAATTTGTCTCAACCACTCTTAATATTGCTCACTGTTGACCATAGCAGACTGTGTACTTCGGTAATCATTTCAATATACCTTAAGGTGTTCTTTACGAGTGTCCAAGGTTTTCGGTGCCCTGTTGGTATTTGCCATGGGTAGACTTGACCACCGGGGTGTGGTTGAGCAATATGGCTGTCCACCACCTCTATGATAAGAGGAACTACCACCATGGTGGATCTGTTCAGTCTCATAGCTGGATGATATAAGAAGGTTTATTTGTTAATTAGGGATGATATCAGTATTTGATTAGCATAGTTTAAAACTGATAGAGCTACATGTGTCAGTATAAAGTCAGTTTAGTTTAAGTTTCCTCCTGTAGTGACACTAGATAAATAATATATTGTTCCTAATAGAACAGTTTACCAAGGTATTAAGTTTATCTAGGTGCTAGCACTGAAAAAGGGATGTTGCAAAACAATTTATAAAAGCCCTGCACTAAACTGACCTTTGTGGATAGTTTACGCCATAGTCTAGGCCAACATTCCTTGAATTGTATGCGAAATACTAAACGATTCGTTATATGTTGAGTGCCCTCCTTGGCCAGGCTGGTTTGGATACGAACCCACGTTATACCCTCTTCCCTGAGTATGTGACATCCCTCTGTTATCACGTCCCCTCGTTGATCCTCGCGTTGTGCCTCGATTGTCCCCTCTACCCCGTTGTGTCCCTTGACCTAACAAGAAAATTACGTTAACAAAAGTTTGTCCACACGATTCAATTCACTTATGACATATGGAATGTAGTCTGTTTATTGACAGAGCAGTACCACATTGGTTTTAGTTGATATGCTGCTCATAAAAATTGCAAGTCAACAGAGCATAAAACATCCATCAGAAGTGAATTGGAGAATGCGAATTTTAAAATTCGTATCTGAATAAAAATTTGTAGGAATATTTGCCGCAACCCTCACCTAATTGAGAGTTGCCACGTTCATCATATTATATATAGTATATCACCTTTTTGAAATTTTACTGTAAACATAGTGACACTACATAGAGTTCGTTGTAGAAAAATCTCAACAGACCTTGTGGTTGGTATTTCCGGAATTTTTTTTACTTCTAGTCGGCCTTCCTCTTGTTCCTAATTTCTCGCCAGCTCGAGCAGTATCGGAGTTATTTCAGAACGTTTCATCGTGTTTGAATCTAATCCCACGATCAAGTGAGGACGCTTAATTCTCTATAAGTCTGAAGGCTTTTGCGAGACCGTGGCAAACATGAGTCATTTGTATGAATATATCGATTTCTATGTTTACAAGTTTCTGCATGACAGTTGTTTGCTTTTTGCTGGTTACAGTCGGTGGCAAATACTAACAAAGGTGATAGGTACAGAGTACTAAAGCATAAAATATTTGTTATTGGGGAATAGAGAGTCCCTCCAATGGATGTTGTAGTTTTCTCATGTATGCAGCTAATAAAGATTTATAACGCAATGTTCAAACGAAATACAGTTTATTTTACGCATGTGGTGCGATGTAAAGGTTTTTTTAGATGATCCAATTTGGTCGCATCTAATAGACCTTTTCAGCTTGTATGCAATTAACCCATTTAATTCAATCACATGGTTCGAAATGGTTAAATTTTACTGGCTATTCCATGGTCACCACATCTGAAATGGTTTAATTTGCATGCCAGCTGAACTGGTCTATATTCACTTCTCAGTTGACTTATATATGGGCAGAAAATCAACTAAAGCCAACGTATTTATGATTTTGTGGCACTTTATTCTTTGGCACTTA